AAATGCCTTAATGCTTCTTGTGCAAAAAGTTAAGTCCAATTTAAAAAAATTATTTTTACTCGTAGATTTTATTTTCTTCGTGCACCTTTTTCATCATCTGACTTCCTCTCATTCATTTTCGACATCATCCATTTTCAATGTTCCGTTGAGGCAATGAAAACTGCTTTCATAAATTTATAATTTCCATGTTTTTTTTCTCTCCTTTTTTTATTTCCTTTAAGCATCACTTTTGACATAAATTTATTATTCAAGTAATGTTTCGGGTGACTTGAGGAAGCTCAAGAAAAGTCATTTAGCCGCATGTGCTATGCTGTTTTTCTTCGTAATTTCATTTTTTTTAGAGGGAAATGAAATTAATAAGAAGAATTTGTTGTAATAAATTTATGTTTAATTTGAAGCTATTCCTTCTTATTTCTCATTACATGGGCATTTAACATGCCCAAGAGAAATCAAGAAGGGAAATTTATGGAATTAGTTTGGATAAAAAGCGATTGTTGAATTTCAAGTTTCCGCTTATTTCGCATAAGCAGAGTAATTTTCATGAGTATAAACAGCGGAAATGCTTAAATCGTTTTAGTGGATGAAATAAAAAAATATTTTTTAGTTATTTGAATTATAAAATATTAGGCAAGATTATCTTTTAAGTGACATTTCCTATTTCAGATGCGAATAAATCACTATTATACGCTGAATTTGATTTAAAGAGCTTAAACAGCACCAAGCAGAATAATCAGATCTAAAATCGAAAGAAACGGAGATGGAGAGAGGACTTTAAATCTTTGGATGTTGTTGAAACAATAATGTTAAGAAAAAAAGGAAAAATTATATTAATAATAGGAAAATGAGTTTCTGACATTTTTTTTTATGAATCTGCCCTCAAGTATTAAATTCTATAGTTAAAATTAATTTATGGAATTTGATTATTATGTTTTCATCTACAGAATTCTTGAATCAAATGTTTTCAGTAAATCTCGTTCAAATGTTAAAAAAGCTTTTAATACTCTTAATACTCGTGATGCAAAACTAAATGCTCCATAGCCATAATTTACATATGTAATTGAGGAGATTATGAAGGTTTCTCATCTAATTTTGATTGACTATTTTACAAATTTTCTCCATCATTGTAAATAATCTCTACATTCTTCATCATAAAGTTTTATTCTTTCGAGCTTTAATCCTAAATAAGAAGCATGGTATATACAAATGTGGCATATTATTAAAGAAAAAGAAGTTTTCCGGCAGCATCGCAAGATGAGCACGTTCATGTTAAGGACAACTTTATTGAAATTTTTCATATCGTAATATTTTTAATATTTTCAGGGAAGACGAATCTATAAATCATACATATTGAAGCATAAATCATATGAAATTATTGATTATTCTGATGATTTATTATTATTATAATAATGTCAATTATTTACACGCAGCTTCATGCTCTTGTGATTAAGTTTAACTATTTCCGTTTCTAATTATCTATTTTCGCACAAAATTCTCTCGCTTATGAGTTTAATGAACTAAATAGATTTCAAAATATGTCGCATTTTAATTATAAAGTTTGCTAATTACTATTCAATAAAGTTCGAATAGATTTGAGACTAAATTTATTATTTTCAAGAGTAATAATATTGTAGCTAGTATATGAGCAATAAAAAGTTGGATTTAATTTACTAAATGTACCAATAAAATATTTTGATTAAAATCGATGAAAATAGAAACAAAGAATAAAGCAATAATAATTTGTATGATTTATGCAAGCGATAAAATTTGGGTGTTTTGTCATGCTCTGGAAATGTGAAGGATCATTGGTTTTTTGGACTTTTTATAAAATGCATACCCGGAGAACACAAGTCACTCTGTAACTTGATAAAAAAATTAAATACAGTTATGAAACTTTTAGAAATGTCTCCACATTGGCCAAACCCACGGTTCATTATTGATTATGAATAATTTCCGTGATAATAAAAGAGTGTGAGTGAGAGAGAAAGTTAAATTCATGGTGATTAATAATTATCTAGGAAATGTGTCATAAATTTCTTCACTTTTTGTTGATTAATGAATTCAAATACCGCAACGAACTAAAAATAAAAAATACTGAATAAATTTTCAATAAATTATGCATGCACATAAAATAAATTTACTCTACCAAGTTCAAAGGTTTATAACATTAGTGGAATTTTTCATAAAACTGCTCAGCATTGAATGCAATTTTATTTGGAAGTTTTCATGCAAAACTTTCTCGTGTTTCATGCTGCTTACAAATCCCCCTTAACAGAGCAAATGAGTCCTAATGATTTTACTTCTCTTCTTTAATGAGCCCAAACAAAAACTATGTTCTCTCTTTCGGAGTAAAATACATGCAATTTAAAAAATGTTATACATACTCATCATCTTATATTTTTAACTTTTTTATACGAATGTCTATTCTTTTACCTAGAACATAAGCTTTCTCTCGAACCATAAAGATAAACCAAGATACAGCATGTATGAACATTTGATTTTCACATTCCTGCAGCTGATTGCGATCCTTTAACAATTTCATACTTTGTTTTGGGCATGAAAAATTAAAAAATAAGAAGAAATTAAATTGACTTTAACTCGTAGAAGTGGAAAGATTTAGCTTTGGTGATTCCACAAAGTTGCTTGAACTAGAATTAAAGTTAGTATTGGGGACGCTTTAAATGATTCAATTTCATTGTCCTACTCGAAAAGTATTTCATTTAAACTGGAATATAATTTGTCATGTATCAAATCTATGTAAATAATCTTGTCAAGAAGCCCTAAACGAATGATAAATGTAAAAAGAAGCTTTCGTTGGTTTTAGTAGTCCCGAAGCATTAAATTACCTACACAATTCATTTTTCACGGTACACAAGCAAGTAGAAAATTTCATGTAATTTAAAAGAACATGAGAGCTTCAAGCTCAATTGAATATTAAACTTTTTTTACGCCTGTAACTTTATATAACATTAATTAATAAGGGTTAGCATGTTTGGGCGTGTAGCACTTATAAATTAAGACGGAATTATGAAAATGAGAAATATATAGTTGAGGTTTAATAGTAGAATAAGCGAATAAGCTTTAAAAAGATGGATCCAAAATTTTCATCGTCATTAGCATAAAAGCGCAACTTTATAAAGTTCTTCTTATTATTCTCTTTACTCTTGTAGGCAAAAAAAGGGTGTTTTTACATCCTCACTTAAATATGAGTAGAATCGACTTTTTAACTGGTGGGATACAATCAACCTAGTACATGCAAAAATTGTAAACTGAACCTTTTATTATGTTCAAAGTAATTTTTTTTATTTACTTCCATCTATCGTTCCATCGCGCGCATCTGTGTAGAGAGCTTACTAAGGAAATCTATCTCCCGAACAAAAACGACTTGAATTTCAATTTTCTTAATGGAGCTTCCATTTCATTTACAATCTTGTATTATAACAAAACATCCCATTAAAAAATCATACACGGAGAGAGAAAGATGGATTAAATGAGGAACAATAATAAATTGGGTTGGAGAGGATAAAAAGCTAGTTGTAGATTAAAGAAGGAGAGAAAGAGAAAAGCGACAAACACAAAACAATTTTAGTTTGATGACGGTCATTATCAAGACTGTTAAACATAATTAAATATGTAGATTGCGTTATGAGTAACTTTCAGCAGTACAATGAATAGAATTAAATGATTATTTTTAATTTAGGTTAAGCTGCAGATGAAGTAAGATATTTTTGTGCTCTTGTTTTATTTTAAAATAAAATGAAAAAACTAGAAAAAATTTCTACTGATTGCTTGAAGGGTCAAGCAATGTAATGCAATTATGGTTGTGATACTTTAGAAATCATGATTTTTAATAAATAGCAACTGTGGTAAAGAGTTTTGTAAATACATCAATAGATTTTAACATTTTTCAAATAGTTCATATCACAATGAGAAGATCATGAGAATGAAGAATTAAACATTTTTTTTTGTTTTCTTCTTAGTAATAATTTTTTTTTTTGAAAAAAAAATATTTGCATAAATTTCTAACTCTCATTCATTTTCGTCAGAGGTCATATGACGTCGATCTAATAATTTCGATTCAACCTTCTTATCCAACTGTGTCACAAATTGCTATCGCACCATAAGTAAAGGACCTTTTGAGATAAACATCAATCAAGAATAAATTTAAGAATAAGTAAAATATCGTGAAAGTCATGAATAAATAAGCTTGAAAATTTTTCATTTAATAAACAAATAAGATCAAAAGAAAATTTTAATTCAAAAGAAATTTAATTGAAATGTCAGCAGGAGTGAAAATTAAATACTCAATTAAAATAAAATTAAAAGCGTATTTGATCGAGTTATAACGTAATTACTTAACTATATGACACTTTATATAGTTATGACACTTTGAACGTTTCACTCCAAGTTCACTTTACATTACATTGTTAATCATATACACGCAGTTTATTTATCAACTCTTGACTTTTCCGCTCGAAAACTTATGAACTCAAATGTCAACAAAAGGGAAATTCTATTTAAATATTTGTTGATTCTATTTCATGCTATTAAAAATTCAAAGAGATTTTAAAATTAACTTGTTGCTCTGTTGAATATCAAATAAGTTCCTTTTTTATTACATTCGTAGCATAAATTCCAATTAAGGATTTCAAACAACGAAGCAGTAAAAAGAAGAAAAAAAAAGCTTTTAATGAATATTCAAATGAAATAAAATGGATAGAGCAAAAAATATTGTGTGCAGTAATTAAAATATAATTTGATTTGTAATTTTAAAAATGACGCTGTAGTTCTTAACAAGAGAGGAAAATTCAATTCATGGTGTGAAATGCTTAACTTGCATTAATTTAATTGAAATAATTTGATGCAATTGTCTGGAAATTATAAAGTCAAATGAGAATATGTTTAATTTGATTAAAATAACAATATCTGTAATCGAACTTATAAAAAATGTAAAAACTGGATTGAAAGAATATTTACAATTGAATATTGAAAATTGGACTAACCAATTACAGTTGCAAGTATAATAATTCCTAATACAACAGCCGTTGTGATAACTTGAATGAAATAAATAGTTGTTTCAAACTCTGTCGCTTTGATACCCGTGTCGTTATTACCTGATACCTCCGTGCCATTAAAGAATGAGTTATTTGTATTATAAAATCTAATCAAATCATCACTTATGTTTTTGAATGTATCATTGAAAGTACTATTTTCGGCATTCGTGCCATTAATTATATTACTATTTACATCACTTATAGAACAAATCACAATATTAAGTAATTTTTGTTCCGTAAAGTCATTACAATCAACTAAATTATTTAGCGCACTGGTACTACTTGACGTTGTCGTCAAATTACCATAATGACTTGTGCCAATCAATATAGTCTCATTGAGCGTAGAAGACACTGGTGTCACTGATTTAGCAACGGCAGATGTTAGGTTGAACATTTTACCGCTTATTATATCAATGACACCATTGGGAACAGTCTGATTAGAGTCACTATTTGGATAATAATTATTATTAGTTATATTATTTTGATTATCATTCAATCGATCACTGATCACGAAGTTGTTGCCGTTGCTTTTTTGTCTTGATGATTGATTAATTGTATTTTGTTGTTGCTTATAAGCATCAATACCATTTCCATGCGTCCTTAAGCTCTGATACGTTGAATATGGTTGTGAATATGATGATGTTGTCGATGTTGATAAAAAATTCAATCCAACGTCAAGTGCAGTTCCAATATTTGAAGTAAATACGACAGTCGATGATGTGAGTAAGATAAGCTGTGCAAATGTGGCAATTAAATCATTCCAAAACGTCATGTTTCGTTGCATTGATGATGACAGCAATGACATGTGAAGTGACCAAGGCCAAGTTGATGATAAATATATGCTTGTTGTTCCCCCCGTTGATGTCGATAAAACTGCTGGCATGGTAAGTCAATCATGTGTTTTTCATTTTTCATTCTTTTGTTCGCACAATTTTACTACTTCAATCAATTTCACATTTTTTACCGAGTAAGTCAATTTCTTACAATTTTATATCTTTGATACGAAACCACTTTTGATTTGCATTAGATGCAAAACGATTTTAAGAATTTAATGCAAAATGCATTTTCGCATATTCAGTAGAATCACTCATGATGACAAGACTCATTAAGATTCTCTCATATGTCGTTGCATCATCATTCACAACTACAATTACTATTGATATTTTTGTTCTTATTCACCTCCCTCATATGCTCTATATTGTCGCTTTGAATATATGAATTTTAATTCATATCGTCATGATTTTGTCTTTTCACTTCGTAATTCATATCTCTGCTTGCTTAACATGAAACATGCATATGTCTTGTAGTTGATGAAACCTGTGATGGAACAAAAATAAAAAGAGAGAGAAATTGTTAGAAATAATTTATATAATTTTCTCTATAATTTAAGCGAAACAAAATGGAAAAGATTAAGTGAAGGAAATGGAAATAAAAATTAATTTATATCAGGAGTGATTTACTTTTTTTTTTTTCTCGAAATTATTTTCTTTGGCAAAAATATTTGAATGCTTTGTTTTTAACAAAAATTTGATTTTTTTTAAACCATAACCTAACATATCACGTGCTCATACACAACTCAGATTATGCAATCCATTCAAAAATATGTCTTTATGCATTCGCTTTTACTCATTATTAACATTTAAAATGAAAGGATTTCATTAAAAGAGAATTTCAAATGAGGAAATTGACATCTTGTTTGAATGACAAGAATAAAATCAGTTCTATGTTCATTAGCGTTTTTACTCATCGCAAAGTCTTTGCTTCTTTAATTCATCAAATGATAATTTTAATGAGAAATTCACTACTTAGCAAATCTCTGTAATATTGTAGATAATGATATAAATGACAAAGTATATTCATAGTCTTTGAAATAAATCTCGAGGGTTATAAAAGCTTTTGGTTCTTTTACATGAAAGGCTTTTTACATTCATTTCCTAAGTAAGCTTCATAGAGAATCTTCAAATGACATAAATGTTGGAATTCCAATGAGATTTTTTTTATGTTCCAACCAAGAAATAGAGCCTTGAGCCTAAAAAAAATCATAATAAATTCTTAAAAACCCTGATCAAAAGCTACTTGTATAATCTGAATCATTCAAGCTCTTAGTTCAATAACAATAAATTTATGAATTCAATTCAGCAAAGTGAAAGAGAAGATTTAATGCCACACACAACATCAAAGAAAAGAAAAGAGTTTATTTGCTCATAGCAACTCAAAGATCCTCAATGATATAATGTGAATGTTTCTTTACTCACAGCATGAAATGCAATAAAAATGATCTCAAAGTATGAATTTCACAAAGAGAATGAAAAAGAAAGAAAAATGGCAATTTAGTTATCAGTAATAATTTCCAATGAAGCATGAAGATGAAGCAACAACTGTGAAAAAGTAAAGTCAACACTTTTCCCTGATGCCGATGGCATTGGTTATGTATAAGTGTACATTGAATGTATAAAATTATTTACTGTAGATTGAGAAAGCATGGACCCTTAAGAAAGCCAAGAGAATATCATAAAAGATCTTATAGAAGCTGTAATAAACATAAACTTTATGATTTAAGCTATTATGGACGCTATTTTTTCACACACTGTTTCATAAACACGATTACTCTACATATACATAGATTTGAATGTGATAAAGTTGATGAGGTTGAAAAGCTTTTTAAGGAAAGTGGTGATAAGAAGCAAAACTTTTTATTTGAAAAAAGATAAAGGGCTCATAAAATATACTTGAACTAACCATAATATTTTAAAAGAAAAGACAAAAATAAGCTCACATAAATTCAATCTTATGAGAAAAACTACGGATATACTTTAATATAATTCAGTCATCTCACTTCGAATAAACAAATAAAATTCCTCTATCCTTCCCAAAATCTATATGGGAGACAGTATAATGATATTGAAAAAGTAAATAACAAATAAAGGTTTCCACATCATAAATTTATGTCATCTTTTTCTTCTTTCTGTTCTTATTATTATTATTGTTATTATTGCCTTTATCTCCCTTGACAAATAAATGAATGAATGAATAATGGAAGAACAGAAGATGCAAGAAAAAGTGAAAAATGGAAAGGAAAAAAAATCTCTTTTTGAGCATCACAAAGGAAAGAATGGTGAGAAAGTCAAGAGACATTTACATGACAGTTGAAACTCTTCACCCAGAAATGAGAACAAAGAAATGATTTGACATTAACTGTTGACCTCCCATAACACCACAGGAATTGATTTCTATCACTTTTTTGTTTTTCTATTTTTTTCTATGTTTAACAGATATTTTTGACACACTATGGCAATAAAATACTAACACAAGACTCAGCTTTAGTGTTAAGTGGCATGCTTGATATCGTGTAAAAACTAAAATTCCGTATGCTTCATATAAGTTGGAAAGTTCGCCCATAAATTATTTGGGGGTGGAAAAACTTATGTTTGACATTCAATAAGGAATTAACAACATTCTTGAAATTAGTTTCTTTTTTGTTTACTTTCAGAGGTTTTTTGCTTTGCATGTCAGTCATGGTATTAATGTAGTTTGATAATTTCGGTATGTCTTCTTATCAGAGAATCCAATTCCAAGGAACAATAATGATGATGAGAATCGGTAAGTTATGTAAATTTATGACTGAATTTACTTTTATTTGATTATTTACAAAACTGTCTTTTTTAATTGCTTCCAAACCATCACACATTATTTTAATTTACATCCTCAATAATTAATCATTTTTTTATTAATTATAATGAAATGAAATTATTAATGATTGATTAAAATTCAATAAATTTTTCAGCTCTCATCTGCCGCCAATTAGCTGCCAGACTGTTTATTGCAAATAATTCTTTCTCTTGCTTAGCATGAGTTCTGTTTTTATAAATCGCACTCTATTTTCATTTTAATGTGAAAGATTTATGACACAATGGATATTTACAATACTTTCATATATTTTATTAAACTTGAAACATTCAGGGATTAGACGATCTACTGGCAAGACTCTAGTAATAAATCGAAATATGATTATTGAAAATACTTTAAAATCATTCTGAGCATTGAATATTTATTTACACATTCATTCAAAGTACGTCAGAATTTCTGATTAGGTGTGAAAATAAACTCATGAAAAATACTTTCAATGTCAATAACATGGCCTTCACACATCCAAGGACAACAATTTTCTATTTTGAATGCTACTCAAAGGGCCATAATTTAATTCGGCTAGTTTGTTATAATTGCATGTATTTAAATACAGTGGATGTGTAATAAAGAAAATTATTGACCTGAAATGCTTGTTTAGTTTCGCTTTGGGATTTTAAGCATTGAAAAAATTTGGATGAACATGAAAATGTTTTGTTTGGGTATCAGAAAAATGATATATATAAATGGTATATGAAAAATTTAGTTCAACAGCAGGTACATTCTGCTCTTTTTATTATGTGTTTTAGAGGTTTTGTTATTTTCTGTATCTTTAATTCTTTTAAAGTTTATAATAATGACATAGTGACAAAATTGCGGACAATTGGGTTACAAAAAGTTTCTTTTTAGTCTAGTTTCAAATCTGTCATGCTTCTTATTATACTTTCATGTGAAACAAATACATCATCAATCATTTTTTTTTCTCTTGTTAGACTTTTCAGAGCTATCGAAAAAAAAAAATCATTCTTTAAATTTCATCATCATATAAATTTTTAATATCTTGCAAATACTTGGCATGTGTGAGTAAGTAAGATGTTGTAGAAATAGAAAATATATCAATTTTAGGAATTGACATAAAACATGCCCAATAAAAGCTTTTCAAACATCACTTAATCATTCATATTTTCTTTTCGATGTTTATATAGTCAAAGATGGAGAGCTCCACGCTCACACTGTTTATTTTCTTCCTAACAAGTGATTTTTTCACAAAAAAGAAAAAAAAAACATTTAATTTCTTGTGGATTTTGATGATGCAGTAAGTGTGAAAATAATCTATTGAAGTGCAAGATTGAAAATTATTACAAACTTAAATGTTTATTTTTCCATTCAAAATGTGCTTTCTCTTTTTTTTTCAAAAAAAAAGTCTTTCATTGACTTCACAAAAACTTTTCTTTACCATTTGAAATTATGAACAAGAAGAAGCAATAAAAAATAAACTGGACGAAAAAATTTTTCCATGCGGCGATGAAAAACATTACTTTTCCATTTTACGTAAAATTGAATTTATGGATTCCCACGAGAATAAATCGTGAAAGATGCGCATTTCTCATGAGTAAGGAAATAGCTGAGCAGATATTTTAGTCGTAAAAATGTGAAAAAAACTTCTTCTTGTTCCCATTTTGTCGTAAGACTTTCAGATTCTTTCTAGGATCGGAAACCTTATGATTTATTCCAAAAAAAAACTTTTCTTGAGAACTTTTAAACTTGCTAATAGAGATGAACAAAATGTCTGGACTAAACTAGAACTTGTAATTATTTTCACTCTAAACATGAAGATATAGATTAGATTTTCAATAACAAAAAATATACACCACAAGAATTTTTATACTTTGTGAAATAGCGTAAAAAAGTAGAAATTTATCTTTCTTATTTTGTAATTTGGAAGAGAAAGTTTTTTACGATCTCAATTAAATGGAAATTTGGTTGATAAAACAACTTCCTTCGACTTTTTCGTTCCTAGAAATTTGCTATTTTGTGGAATTTGACAAAAGGACGAGGACTGTTAACTTTAATGAGCTAAACTTCGCAACTGTTCACTTGGTTGATGAATGTGTAATAGATCTTGCGTAAACTTGAGTTTGTTTATTCTAAAGGTATTGTAATTTGAATGGAATTTATACCTCAAAAGAAGATGATGCTGATTTTATAGCAAAATTTATCTATTTTCTCGTTTTATGATAGATTTTTTTTTTCATTCCGAGTTATAAACAAAGAAGTATAGAATCATTCAGTACATCAATTTAAAAACGCATTTGATTATTTATTTTAAATTATTTAGAGATTAATGCTTCCACTGTGATATGGATATGTTTACATGTAACTGAAAAATGGGATTTCATAGCCAATGGAATCTTATCCGCAAGCATTAATGTTACTTGATTAGATTTTCTGCCTATTATTGCACAAGTTTCAATTCAAGCACATCAAATAGCTTAAAGATGGAATTTTTAAAAATAATATGATCGCTTGATAATTGCTATACTCCAACAACATCATTCAGTGCATTGCTATCGATATGTTGGTGAGACACAATATGAAGCCAATTCTTGATCCTTTTAATGATAATATCCTCAATAAAAACTAATTAACTACTGAAAACCCCCAATAACATCTATGGATTCGGTACAAAAGCCC